TGTCATATATGATATCTTTAGTTTGGGGGAATAATTTTAAAACGCAAGAGGCCGATAGACGCTTACCTGACTTTATTTTTATATTTTTATTTATCTATTTTATTTATCTTATTTATTTATATATTCATATCATTCATTCATTCATTTATATATTTATTTTAATTTAATTGTAATTTATTTTATTTAATCTATTTATTTTTCATTGTTTATTTATTTTATTTTTGTTTATTTATCTATCTATCTATTATCTATCTATCTATCTATCTACTATCTAATCTATCTATATTCTATCTATCTACTCATACTATCTATCTATATTCTTATCTGGTCTATTATCTATCTATCTAGTCTTATCTATTTATTTTTATTTACTTATTTATTTATCTATTTATTTAATTTTCCTTTTAATTCATTCTTTTTTTCAAGCTCGCGTGTGGTGACGGTATATTTCACTGTCCCGATAACAAGTGGACGAAGAAGACTTGCGATCCATGTCCTGAATCAAGACCTTTTAAGTGACGTTTATTTTAGTGAAAGTTAAATTTATGTGTTTCGAAGTATAGAAGTATTTTGGTTAAGATTCTTAGTTCAGAGTAAGAGGGTTTGGGTAGAAATTTATTGTTTCGAGTACATTTGGGTTAAAATTCTTAAGTTTCAGAGTAAAAGGTTTGGGTAGAATTTAATTGTGTTTCGAAGTACATTTGGTTAAAATTCTTAGTTTGAGAGTAAGAGGGTTTGGGTAGAATTTAATTGGTTTCGAAAGTAAATTTGGGTTAAAAATTCTTAGTTTTGAGAGTAAGAGGGTTTGGGTAGAAATTTATTGTTTTCGAAGTACATTTGGTTAAAATTCTTAGTTTGAGAGTAGGAGGGTTTGGGTAGAAATTTATTGTTTCGAGTACATTTGGTTAAAATTCTTAGTTTGAGAGTAAGGGGTTTGGGTAGAAATTTATTGTTTCGAAGATTTGGTTAAAGATTCTTAGTTTGGAGTAAAGGGTTTGGGTAGAAATTTATTGTTTCGAAGTAATTTGGTTAAAATTCTTAGTTTGAGAGTAAGAGGGTTTGGGTAGAAAATTTATTGTTTCGAAGTACACATTTGGTTAAAATTCTTAGTTTGAAGAGTAAGAAGGTTTGGTAGAAAGTTTATTGTTTCGAAAGGTACATTTGGTTAAAATTCTTAGTTTGAGAGAAGAGGGTTTGGGTAGAAATTTATTGTTTGAAGTACATTTGGTTAATCTTAGTTTCAGAGAGGGTTTGGGTAGAAATTTATTGTTTCGAAGTACATTTGGTTTAAAAATTCTTAGTTTGAGAGTAAGAGGGTTTGGGTAGAAATTTATTGTTTTGCGAAGTACATTTGGTTAAAATTCTTAGTTTCTGAGTAAGAGGGTTTGGGTAGAAATTTATTGTTTCGAAGTACATTTGGTTAAAATTGCTTAGTTTGAGAGTAAGAGGGTTTGGGGTAGGAAATTTATTGTTTCGAAGTACATTTGGTTAAATTCTTAGTTTCTGAGTAAGAGGTTTGGTGAATTTATTGTTTCGAAGTACATTTGGTAAATTTAGTTTGAGAGTAAGAGGGTTTGGGTAGAAATTTATTGTTTCGAAGTACATTTGGTTAAAATTCTTAGTTTGAGAGTAAGAGGGTTTTGGGTAGAAATTTATTGTTTCGAAAGTACATTTGGGTTTAAATTCTTAGTTTGAGAGTAAGAGGGTTGGGGTAGAAATTTATTGTTTCGAAGTACATTTGGTTAAATTTTTTAGTTTGAGAGTAAGAGGGTTTGGGTAGAAATTTATTGTTTCGAAGTACATTTGGTTAAAATTCTTAGTTTGAGAAGTAAGAGGGTTTGGGTAGAAATTTATTGTTTCGAAGTACATTTGGTTAAAATTCTTAGTTTGAGAGTAAGAGGGTTTGGGTAGAAATTTTATTGTTTCGAAACGTACATTTGGTTAAGATTCTTGTTTCAGAGTAAGAGGGTTTGGGTAGAAATTATTGTTTCGAGTACATTTGGTTAAAAATTCTTAGTTTCAGAGTAAAAGGGTTTGGGCGTAGAAATTTATTGTTTCGAAGTACATTTGGTTAAAATCTCTAGTTTGAGAGTAAGAGGTTTGGGTATTAAATTTATTGTTTCGAAAGTACATTTGGTTAAAATGTCTTTAGTTTTGTCTGAGTTTAGTAGAGGGTTTGGGTAGAAAATTTATTGTTTCGAAGTACATTGGTTAAAATTTCAGTTTGAGAAGTAAGGGTTTGAGGTAGAAATTTATTGTTTCGAAGTACATTTTGGTTAAAATTCTTAGTTTGAGAGTAAGAGGGTTTGGGTAGAATTTATTGTTTTCGAAGTACATTTGTTTAAAATTCTTAGTTTGAGAGTAAGAGGGTTTGTTAAGAAATTTATTGTTTCGAAGTACAATTTGGTTAAATTCTTTTTGAGAGTAAGAGGGTTTTGGTAGAAATTTATTGTTTCGAGTAATTGGTAAAATTCTTAGTTTGAGAGTAAGAGGGTTTGGGTAGAAATTTTATTGTTTCGAAGTACATTTGGTTAAAATTCTTAGTTTGAGAGTAAGAGGGTTTTGGGTAGAAATTTATTGTTTCGAAGTACATTTGTTAAAATTCTTAGTTCTGAGTAAGAGGGTTTGGTAGAAATTTATTGTTTCGAAGTACATTTGGTAAATATTCTTAGTTTGAGAGTAAGAGGGTTTGGGTAGAAATTTATTGTTTCGAAGTACATTTGGTTAAGATTCTTAGTTTGAGAGTAAGAGGGTTTGGGTAGAAATTTATTGTTTCGAAGTACATTTGGTTAAAATTCTTAGTTTGAGAGTAAGAGGGTTTGGGTAGAAATTTATTGTTTTTCGAAGTACATTTGGTTAAAATTTCTTAGTTTGAGAGTAGAGGTTGTGGGTAGAAATTTATTGTTTCGAAGTACATTTGGAGTTTGTAAAAGGGTTTGGGTAGAAATTTTGTTTCGAAGTACATTTGGTTAAATTCAGGGTTTGGGTAGAAATTTATTGTTTCGAAGTACATTTGGTTAAAATTCTGTTTTAGTAACATGTGGAGTTGTTTACAAATATGAGATCTAATTGCAAAACGTTTTTTTTATCAGAAATTCTTCATTGAGCAAAGTAGTATTAAGGTTTAGAGAATAATCATTGCATTTTCTATATTTGCGAAAATCTGGTACCTTTAGAGGAATTCAAAAACTAATGATTGCTTATTGCACACTCTGCGTATGGTAACTTCGTTTAATCTCAGAAAAAAACAAAAACTGTCAACTCACACGGACTCTGGAGTACTCCGATTCATTCATTCTTTTGAGAAAAATAAATGAATGAATAAAGTGTTAAGGCAACAGCCACAACAAAAATCTAGAATAAAATAAAGGGAAAAATGTAGATAGGTCATAAAAATGCTAAATAAATGTTAAAATAGATATCGTCAGCTGATTGGAATTGAAAAGAGACAACTAATACTATAGAGATGAGTTGCCATATTTCCGTGAGAATCAACAGACCTCAGAAGTACAACAAACCTAAAACTGCACATTTTACATCTTGTGTAAATGCCACATATACTTACGTGAACAAACCTCCCCAAAATACATTAAAAGAATACTACCACAAACTTTTCAAAGATGCAACACCTCGAGCAAATGCATCAAAGAACTGTTCCTGTGCGAAGTAAAACAAACCTAAAACACATTTTACATCTTGTGTAAATGCCACATGTACTTACGTGAACAAACCTCCCCAAAATGCAATAAAATACGACCCACAAACTTTTCAAAGATGCAACACCTCGAGCAAATGCATCAAAGAACTGTTCCTGTGCGACGGCTACGCTGACTGTCCGAACAACGAAGACGAAGCCAATGCCACGTGCTTCGTCTGCCCGTCTGCCAAGCCTCTCAGATGTCCGTCCGGCGAGTGTGAGTTTTAAATTTGTTTTTGATGAAATACTGAGATAAATTAAGAGGAATTAAGTTGTTTAATGGACGAATTGGTGGTTCGAATACGTGGAAGGTATAATAGTCTGGAATAATGGATTTTAAATGGTGAAGTTGTGAAGGTTTAAAGTGTGATGATAAGGTTTTTACTTTTAGGCTTGAGTTTATTAAGGTTTTAGGTGTGAGGTGAAGGTGTAAAGTGTGATGTTAAGGTTTAAGTTTTAGGTATGAGGTTATAAAGGCTTTTGGCGTGAGGTTGTTTTAAGGTTATGAGATTTAAGGTAAGGTTGTGAAGGTTTAAGGTATTAGCTGTTGAGATTTAAGGTATAAGGTTGTGAAGGTTTTAGGTGTGAGGTTAAAGTTTAAGATGTTATATTAAGGTTTAAAGAGTGAAGATACAAATTAAGATATGTCTTCAGCGCACTTTATCCTAATATACTTAGTATGATATCAAATGAAGTCACTTTTAGTCATAAGTAAAATTGATGAATAAACCTTGACGCCCATTTCCCAGGTATAAGCGAGGCGTGGTTGTGTGACCTGGCGGCGGAGTGCAAAGACGGGTGGGATGAGTCGAACTGCACGGTCTGTCCCGCCCAGACGCCCTTCAGGTGAGCTCATCTCTATTTAGGGGCGTGGGGGGGGGGGGGGTGTTTGGGGTTCATGTATACACGGCGGGGGTGTGAGAAGAGGGGGTAGATTTTTGTCTGTCTCTCTTTCTTCTTTTCTCGTTCGTTCGTTCGCTGTGTCTCGAATTTGATCTCTGGCTCTTTTCTGTCTGTTTTTGGCTGGCTTTTGCTCTGTTCTCTCTCTCTTTCTCTATCTCTCTCTCTCTCTCTCTCATCTCTCTCTCTCTCTCTCTCTCTCTCTCTTCTCTCTCTCTCTCTCTCTCTCTTCTCTCTCTTCTCTCTCTCTCTCTCTCTCTCTCTCTCTCTCTCTCTCTCTCTCTCTCTCTCTCTCTTTCTCATTCTCTATCTGTCTATATATGTGTGTGTGTGTGTGTGTGTGTGTGTGTGTGTGTGTGTGTGTGTGTGTGTGTGTGTGTGTGTGTGTGTGTGTGTTATATAACATCAAGCCCCACTACTACCAGCCTTGTGTGTATTCCAGATGCAACGTTACAGGAAAATGCCTGCCTTTAGTGTGGGTTTGTGACGGCGTGAGTGACTGTTCCACGACGCAAGAGCAGGTAAGTTGTCATTGATTACGTATACAGGTGTAATTATTTTGAAATTGTACGATTATTGCTTATAAAGGAAGAGATTTTTCTTCTTTCTTTTTTAAAATGATAGGCTTAGTTGGTATTAAGAAAGATGTTAAAAAATAATTTTATTCATTCATTCACGTCCCTTCTTTCCACCCTTCCACCCTCTCCCTCCCTCCTTCCTCACCCTTCCACCTCCCTCCTCCCTCCCTCCTTCCTTCCACCCTTCCACCCTCCCTCTCTCCCACCCTTCCTCCACTCTCCCTCTCCCCTCCTTCCTTCCACCCCCTTCCACCCTCCCTCTCTCCCTCCTTCCTTCCACCCCTTCCACCCTCCTCTCTCCCCTCCCTCCTTCCTTCCTTCCCCCTCCTCCTCCTTCCTTCCTTCCACTCCTTCCAACCCTCCCTCTCTCCCTCCCTCCTTCCTTCCTTCCACCTCTCCTCTCCTTCCTTCCTTCCACCCTTCCACCCTCCCTCTCTCCTCCCTCCTTCCTTCCTCCACCCTCCCTCTCTCCTCCTTCTTCCACCACCTTCCACCCTCCCTCTCTCCCTCTCTCCCCTCCTCCTTCCACCCCTTCCACCCTCCCTCCTCCCTCCCTCCTTCCTTCCTTCCACCCCTTCCTCCTCCTTCCTTCCTTCCACTCCTTCCACCCTCCCTCTCTCCCTCCCTCCCCTTCCTTCCACCCTCCCTCTCTCCCTCCTTCCTTCCACCACCCTCCTCCCTCCTTCCTTCCTTCCACCTTCCCCTCCTCCCTCCCTCCTCCCTCCCTTCCTTCCCTTCCTTCCTTTCCCTCCCATTATCCACTCACTCATTCATCCTTATCTGAACAGGACGACTCAGACGAGAGCTCCTGCGACCCGTGTCCCGACTTCAAGCCGAGAAAATGCGCAGATGGCTCGGCTTGCTACCCCGACAGCTGGCGGTGCAACGACGTGGACGACTGTGCAGATGGTTCGGATGAGAATAGCTGCTTTGAGTAGAATGATGGGCGTGGGAGGGAGAGAGGAATGGAGAAAAGAAGGGAGAAAAAACAACAGAAAACGGGAAAGATGATAATGCATCATAGAAAACGGATAGCGCAGGCG